GTGGGGCCTTGTTCGTTCCTATGAGGGTTGCTCAGTGGCAAAGTCCAAAATGGAGCGACTGTAGATTTAGAAAGTACGCAGAGTGTATCTGGGCCCATAGAGCGTGGCCACTTGAGTTTTCTCAGTCAAATGAATGGAGAGTGAAAATAACTGTGGATTCGGCTTTCAGCACATCTTACAACTTTTGAACCTATTGATTTAAATCAGGGCTATAAAAGCGTTGGTACTGGGTAGTTATTTATTTCAATACAATTATATGCTGATTTACAGACTTCTCTTTCCAAATGTTATTCAATGGGTTAAGTCTTTTTGGCAGTTTAACGTAAGTGTACCCCCAATACGCACATTTTTACTTCAATAGCCAGTGCTCTTTGTGGGTTTGCTTCAGGCACAATTACTGCCGTGTCATGTAGTTTTACAATTTGTTTATCTTAGCCCACTAAAGTCTTGATACAATTCAGTAGCTTTTCTTCATTTTAAAGCCATGCTTTATATCAAAATGATGACTTTTGGGAAGCTCTATTACAGCGTCTTCCCTCTGAATGCATTTTTTGATGTAGTTGACATCCTTGTTCTCTGTCGGTACTTTTTATTAACTCGTGTCAAGGTGTGTTCCGACTCAATGCAAGCTGTGATTGCAGATAAAGTCGATGCAAATGCATGGGCGGACATGAACAGTAAATTCCTGGTGGGCGGCGTGCAGAGAATCGTATTGGAGTTGGAGTTGAGTTGTTTAAACTCATCCCAAGGCTTTATGACCCTAATTCTTCAATGTATGGAAATACAAATAAAAGAGAAGTCTGGAGGACGGTTCTATAAATAATTTGAGTTCCTTGAGATTGTTTATAAGTGAACTAGCTAACAGCACCAGCTAACATATGTGCTTTCCGTACTTGCATATAGAAGGGCACCTGTGTTGCTTGTATCTTTCAAAATGCATTTATTTTAATGATTTGACATATATTCACAGATATTTTTGATAGTTTGTGGAGTACAGTGGCCGTCCCTGCTTTTATTTTACAACTTCAAGTGGTAGAGAAAAACCTTTCCCATGTCACAGTGTTGAATTGTGTCGTGTTTTATATGAATATGTATGCATAAATGCATGTGTAGTAACACTAAAGGGAGACACCCCTGGCAAAAACATGTTTATTTCATGATTTGCTCAAAAGCTTTTGCTGCCCTAACATTCTTTCTTCTAGTGAAAAGAAAACGTCCAAGATACATGTCAACGTTTTTATTTTACTTATTTTGTTTGCATCCGTAGATTTATAAAAGGTAATTTAATCATGAGTTAAAGAACATTTGATTCAAAAAATCATGACACAAATAGATGTATTTTCTTATGGAGTGAATAAAAAATATCTTATAAATGATTCCCTCTGTAGAAACCTTTGACTCTAATAGGGCAACCAGCTTTATCTAATGTTAACATTTCAATGTTGTGCAATTTAGAACATATTTCATAAGATAAGGCCTTATTTATATATTTAAACATAACATTTCAGAACACTGATAGTGTATGTGTTTCCTACTCACCGCGGGGGTCTCCTCCTAACAGCATGTCCGAGCTCCAGACACCAGTAAGGGGATTAAAGTCACTCTTTAACCCCTGGAGGAAGCTCTATGTGGATGATCCACTACTTTTGGCTACTCTGTCGTTTTATCTCTTATCCTGCTCATCTCCCCTTAAAAACACCATTTCACTCTAATTCTTCATTTGTTGTCTTGCCTTTGCTTTCTCTTTTCCCTTCTTCCTGTTGTTGAAAATCTACACACTTAAAGAAGCGTTTATCAAAGTCAACTGCGTGACAGGGGAGGAACAAAGGCAGGACATGATTTGGTAGAGATGAAGGTGAGGCTGTAGGACGGTAGTCACCGAGGAGGCTCGTCCGCCGGTCTGGCCCGAGCGCGGATCGATACTGGGTGATGTAGGAGCTGGTGGGGGGTTTGATCAGAGGATGGGCTAATCATTTCAGTCATTACCCGGCCGTGTCTCCTGATTCCAGGGATTAGCAGGTGCAGAAACAGGGGAGATGTTGTGTTAGTGCTACAGGAGACTCTATCAGGGATTTGAGGAGTGGAAAACACTACCTTTTCCCCAGTCACCTCCGGTAATAGTGCCTGCAGCACGGGGATCTGGGGAAGAGGGTGTGTGAGAGTTTGCATACGAGATGTAGCGTTGGAGAGCAAAGGAAAACAAAAAAGAGAGAAAGAAGATAATATTGGCATTTGTAGAAGCACACATGAAGGATATACAAGCAGGCGTTACAGAATCGTGTTCAGCCTCTCGTAGGAGGGGAGAGTCGTGGGAGAGCTTACATGCTTGCCTACCCACAAGCCTTTTCGTGGAGCTGATCATTTGACAGCACTGAACAGCTCAAGAGACTGACTAGCTCCAGTGCCAGCCAAAGCCCTGTGAACATTTCACACACCGCAAAATACATGACGGGTGGAAATAAGGGAAATTACATTTACGTCAGCGGTCAAAGTGTCCCAGCTGGCTTATTCAATCCGCAGTCCCAGAGTCTACAGCACCTTAAACTGTAATGTGACACAACAAAACAAGCCCAAGTAATTGAACTGTCATGCACATCCGAAGACTTGAACAACTCTGACAACACACCTTGAAAATATATGAATTAGAAAACATGGGTTTGTAAGTATTTGTTGCATTAGTGAGTTTAGAAGGGGAATTGTACCCATTTTGCTTAAGGTTGAGGACATTTATATTAATGGGGAGAGTCTAACAACATAAGAGACTACATTATCATAAGTGCAGGTCTAGAGTTCTAGGTGATATAAGAGAAACTAGCTTCAACAGCATAAATATTAACACATGATTTCCTTTTTCTTTTTTTTTAGTGCTTTTTTTGTTGCAGACAACTTTGCTGCTCTTTCTGCCAGCACTTAGTGTTCATTTCGCTAACATAACACCATTGTTTTCATTACAGCACCAATGTCATTAAACACTAACTGTGAAAAACAAAGCAGGAATACAATACAGTTATTTTTTCACCAAAACGTCTCACTGTTTCTCGCCTCGCCGCTCATCGCTAATGACCACAGTCATGAGGACTTGCCAAACATTACAAATGTATTGTAATCATTATTGCTAGACTAGATTTACTCAAATGTTAAATCTA